TACTTTTACGCACAGTAAGTCTCTTTAAGGTATTAAGTAAAATGTTTGCAAATCTCTATGCTTTTAAAATAAACTACTTAAGAAGACCGTTTTTTAGAAAATGTGCTGTCATTATTATAAAGTAAAAATCAGTTTTCAAAATTTTTGATACAACCTTTTCAATCGTTGAAGTGTGACAGTTTTGATTTTTTAATTTCATCGTTTATTGCCTTTGTTAAGAAGTTGTGTTTTTTTTCTGTTAAGTTATCACAAACACTTTTTTTTGTTTCACAATTTTTAAATGCTATTTTTAGTGAATTATAAAACTGAAGTTACTCCCCTTCAATAATTATCAGACCTCTTTGCCAGCCAGTATAGTTAATTAAAATCTCTGTTTTAAAGATTTTGGTATTCCTGGTAAGCATGTTGGGAACTCGGACGAATGCAGTTTCGAATTCGATGCTGAGCAAGGCACTTTCAACAGTCCGCGTTATCCATCTAATGTTGGTTTTTTGTGGGAAATGAAAATTGAGTTAATATAAGATCTGTAAGATTAAGAGCATAAAGATGCTAGAAAAGCAGCTCTGAACGAAGCTTTTATGTAACTTTTAAAAGCAATCAGTGCAGGGAAACTTTCAGCCAAAACACTTTGAAGTTCCGTAAAAATTTCATAAACGGCTACGCCCAAACCTTACGTTCAAGCAAATACATTTTTCTTTCGCGTATCGCTGTAACTTCTTTTTTACATGTGCAGTATCCACATAATTCGAGTTGCCGATATGTTATTGATGCTGGCATTGGCTACCAAGTTCAAATTTACTTTGAACAGTTTGCTCTATATAACAGCTCTTCACGGAACGAAAACGAGAAGTTTATAGTTTACTTACTAAAATTTTTAAAATGTTTAAACTTTTCTTACATCGATCAGTCTATAAAAAATATTTGCCAAGTTCCTGCAAAAAAAAAAATTAAATTTTTTGTCTTGAAATTAAAAAGCTTCTTGTCTTCGATGTCACTTACAGCAAAGTTTTAAAAGCTCATTGTAGATGTGGAGATTTTTTGGAACTTTACGATGTCTTCGAAGACGAACGGCAAGAAAAACAAGGTTGAGTGTGAATTCTTATGAAACAGCTGAAATTGAAGTTCATGTGCAAATTGACTCGATGACTTGATTTGAAAAAAACAATTCAAATTTTTCAAAAACTAATACTTTTAAAACTTTAACACTCGCTCGTCGTCGTAAAAAACAGTGTTTGCTCTTTTGTTCAAAACGAAAAAATATCAAAAATAATATTTCAGTTACATACTGCGCAAACTCGTTTCCAAGTCCGACGATTTCAGCATACAACTCTCATAAAGTAGTCCTGATATTTCGGTCAGATTCTTATGGAACAGCGAATGGTTTTAAAGCTTTCTATAAAAGAAGAAAAGCATTTGTTGAAGCAATACCCAGTCGAGGTTTGTTTCTATGCACCGATAACTTCTATTAGGTTATATATATTAAAAACTTCATCAAAATATGTTAGTCGTCCACAAAAAAAAAAGCTAGAAAATTGTGAGCAAAAATCTTCAGACAATTTCCCTCGATTTATTGTTATCAGCTGTTGTTGTATTGGTGGCATTCCATTTTCAGAGACCGAGTATCATTGTGGTAGAAGAATTGTTGCCACTTCAGAAGTAACTTCAGGTACTATAGTTTCCAAGCAGTATCCAACCAAATACGTCGCTGATACCATCTGTGATTGGGAAATTGAAGTACATCCACATCATAAGGTTTATAAATTTATGTGAATTTTTGTAAACTATGAGTATTGAAGTGGCTTAATTTAAACTACGAATACAGAAAACATTCCTTCACTTGTAAATGTTGATTTAAATTGTTTCTGTTGAAGATCAGGCTAGGATTGATCGACATGGATGTCGAAGGAGAAATGAAAGAAATAGTCAAATGTGACATTGCCGTAATTCGAATTCGTGATGATTTTAACAAACAAAAAAAAATTACCGAAATGTGTGGAACAGAACAAGAAAAATTCATTCCTTATATTTCGGCAAGCAACAAACTTAGAATCAGGTAAGTACATAACCCAGTTACAAATGTCAATACTATTGTTCCTGTTTTTAAACAAGCATCCGTTTTATTTGCAGTTTTTTGACGGCGCCAGAGAAAGTTAACGGTTTAAAAGGATTCAATTTCACGTGGACAGAAGTGATGCCATTTCGTGGTAAGCAATTTTTACGATTTACTGTTCCATCAATTCTTTTGCTTCCTCCACCCCGTCCAAAAAAAAAAAAAATAATAATAATAATAATTAAATAAATAAAGCACTAGTTTCACTAACAAGTTGAACATAGTGTGACAATTTTATCATTTTATTGTTGATTGTTTAAGACGAGGAAGAGTGCAAAGGTTCTAACAAATATGCCTGTAGTCATGAAAAACTATGCATAAGTGCCCGTCTTCGATGCGATGGTCTTAATAACTGTGGTGACAATAACGACGAAGAGCATTGTAAGTAACTGGCGGTTTGTTTTTTTTTTTTTTTTTTTTT